GACACCACCACTGACATGGCAAAATGGCTTAATTTCCACCCTGCCTGATTGCATTTGCTTGCCATTCTGCAAATGATTTTGCTTTTCACTTTTAGACTCTTGATTTGTTGGTGAGGAAGGTAGACATTGCTTAACAGCTTGCCTTTCATGAAAAACAACATTTTTGGTACTGCTTCTGGCAGGGCTGCACTGGTTATGCTTGTGGTGCATCAATATATCATTACTGCTCTTTGAGTTCTGAAAATCCTGGGGCTGTGTTTGTTTATGCTGCCTTCTGCAGCTCGTGCCTATTGCTTACCAAAGTGTAGAGTCTGTATGGAGTCCTGCCTTCGGCCATCACCTTGCTACCACTGCAGACAGAGAATTGTTGGCTCACAGCCCACCAGTAACTTCCTGCAGAAGTGGGAGGGAGGGCGAATGTTGGGCTCCTTTGGAATGGATGGAGGGAAACCGGGTCCTGCAGATGAAATAGGTCCTGGAGAGTCTGTGTGAGAGTGAAAACAGTAAAGGCAATAGGGTAGAGGAACTGAACCTGGAGAAGATGGAGGTAGAAGGGGAATCAGAGCAGGAGGAAAACTAGAGGGTTTGGGCTGATTCTGGGAGGAAGAGGGCTGAATCCCGATCTGAGAATGAATTAAGGGTTTACAAGGGTATCAGAAAGAGCAACAAAGAAGCTTAGAAATGGGGGCAGGATGGGAACAGCTGTAACTTATTCTTGGTTACAGGAGTGCCCAAGCAGGCCTGCAATTAATGGGGAAGGGAGCAGGCAGTCTCTGGGAGGTGCAGGAGAAGAGAAAACAAAATGTCAGCTAGAAGAAAGTTAAAGCAAAGGGAGGGAGAGCTGAAAGTGGAGGCAGTACCCCTCCAACATCAGTACCAGTCAGATGGCTTGAGTTTCAGTACACTTGCTTTCCCTAGTGGTCCCACATGCTCCATTGTTAAAGGAGGTGTGGAAGGGGGTCTTCTGGAATTGAGGATATAAGTAGACTCTGGGTGGAAAACATTTCTGTCCTTTTCTTCTAGTGATGGGGCATGGCTACCCAATCAGCCAGCTGCGTGCTGAAAGCAGGCTTGCGGGTCTTCAGGGGACCTTCTGTCCTCTTTATCAGTTGCTGTGCCCACTGTGCAGAGCACAAGATTTTATAGTGAAGAGCGTGTGCCGAGGTATGGTTTCCTGCCCAGCCTAGCATGCACTGGAGCTTTTGCTGTCTCTAAACTCGGAAATCACAGTGAGATGAACATGCTTCTAAGGCTTGAGCTCAGGAGAGGAGTGTGGGAACTACAATTCCTGCATTTGGAGAAGAAATGGGTGTATGTTATTACAGCAGCTATTTCAACATCCTGCTAGATGCATATCTGAAGGGAGGGAAAAGTCCATCTCAAATGCTGAAGGATCAAATACTCTGGTCTACAACATGAGTGACCATGGCCAATGATATTGGATTATACTACAGCAGGAGCTGTCATTTGAGAACAAATAATGCAAAATCTGTGAGGTAATGCTGGGAAGTGAGTTTTCCCAAGTATTAGGGGGTTGGGCTCACAAACCCATTGTGGTGGTTTGGTGTTTAAAGGCAAGAGTCCCTGTGCTTGAGCGGCTCTGCGTGGGCTTCTGTGTAAATTACTTGACCTGACTATGCCATGGCCCAGAGAGAGGACTCCTGCTGACCTCCAGCATCATCCACTCCAACTCATTAAGCAGCCCAGCTGTGTTCTGCTGTGGGGACTGCACAAGGTAGCTGTTGAGCAGTCAGGGTGTGGGACTCTGAGCTGGGTGCAT